CCATTTCATAATTGTTAAATCGATAGTGATATTCCTTATATCTATATAGTGTAGTTGTTGATTACCAAGTAATTGTTAATATTAAGCGGACGCTTAGAATAATAGTGCTTTTATTCTGGTAATACAAGCGAACTAAAAGTTAATTATTCTACATATATGAGTAGCTCACTCACTGTTTTCAAGGTGGAATGTATACAATTCGTATTTCTGTCCACACGCCGGGGTTATCGCGGCCATTGAAGGGGTGTGCTTTTTGGTCCGCTAGTTATTTTTTGTGCCGCATCGTTCTATTCGATATCAATTTCCCCCGAAATCTATTCTCGCTTCGTGTTGCTTGTCCGTTTCTCTTTCATTGATTCACTTGTGTTCTGCTTGTACTTCTTTTCTCAGCTGGGTTCCTTCTGCGGACTCGTTGAATGCATCGTTATACATTTTCAATTTTCATTTGCAACAGCATCACATTAAGATCGCCAGGCCGATCATCTTTAGCCCCCTCGACCGGAGACGTTCTATTGTCGCTGTCGTCCTCAACCCCACAACCGACGTTATTTGGACACTTGCCTTTTCCGTGCGAAAGTCAAATCAATTGACCTGTCACATCGTCTTGGAGGCATTGTCAAGCTTTACCCAAAGAGCTTTTTTCTCTTTGTAAATGGGTGAATTTCAACGAGTTAGCTATTCAACTAGCCCAAAGAATGCGCAGGAAATTTCGCTCATTTTTGTCGGTAACTTCGGTATTGGGTTCACTTACTAGAGGATCGCTCCTTACTAACCTAGTAGTCGTTAGAGGACGCTGATACGGCTAATATATGGCAGGCGACATATGCCAGGGTAGCATTTTCCATTTGCAGCATTCCAAGGCAGCGATTTTCGCATGTTTTTGAGTGTCATGTGAACGCACTCAAAAAAAATGCGTATTAGCCATCAAGACCACGTCGCACCTATATGATAGTTATCTTTTTGCGAATGATGGATCAAAAATATACATTGCCAAAGCGGACAAGGCTTTGAGAATAAGTCGCTTGTACTATGTTAACTTGGATATTAGCTCAGCAGATGCAAGGTATGTTACGATTGTGCAAATTTAAGTGTCGAAGTCGAAAAACTGCTTATAACGATTGCATGTATTATCATTTCTAGATAGAATAATTTGACCAACGGGACCCAAATGTATAATGGCGTTTCACTGCATAAACAGCGTAGCCGTAGAACGAATGTTTGTTTGAAGCCAAAGGTTTAGCAAGTTTTCCCATCTGTAGCTGCAGCTGCAGCGGTGGATAGCACCGTCTAACTGGCACTTCATAATGACTATGTTTGAATTATTTAATTTTGGCAGTAGAAAAAAATTGATCAAATAATGCGGTCTAACTTTGCGAAATAGATAGTCAGCGTACGAAGACTTCTTACACCACAAACACTCCTACTGAAGCACAAAATCAGAATAAAATATTAGTTTGTAGAAAAGGCTCGATAAGCCCTTTTACCTAATTTCAAGTTGATTGTAATACGAGGCCCTTTGTCGATGCTTGTAAGTGATGTACATAGAAAAGTCTTTAGACGGAAGGATAATACTGAATAAATCAATTCCTTACATACGCCCTATAAATAAAATATAATGAGTGAGCTATAATGATATATTTTAGTGATAATAATGATATATTTTATACATGTAAGTATAGGCAACTGCTAAGAAGTAGCTGAACTAACTTTTCTATAGCTGCCTACTGTTTTCTTTTTTTTTTTTATCTTTGCTACTACAATCAATTTGTACACATAATATAATCAACAACTACATTATACAGATATAAGGATTAAAGTATCGAGTAAACAATCATGAAATATCAACGTATAGATCGGACAATTAATTATTAATTACGCACAATAGGTAATCAATCATCTGTTATAATCATTACACAGAACATAATACAGTCACTGTTTGTGTTTGAACGAAAAAACACTATTTAACATTATTTAATTTTATTATTACTACTATTGTTACTATTATTTAGCGTCTTTCTGTTGGCAACATTTGGTAATTTCAGCTACGGACCTAACGCTCATTTGATTAGACGAAACAATACATTCAATATAATTTTTCGTCGTCTGACACTAGAAACGTTATTGGATATATTTGTATTCCGTAGAGGCATGGAAGTACTACCCCATACATAGTTTTTTGAAGTACGTTATGTGCGGCTACAAGAACATTCAAGTTCGCAAACAAGTAGGGTTTGCATGATTGTTTGTCCTTATTTTTTTTTTTAATAGTAAGGCATATATAATCTGTAAGTTATGTCATTATGTCATGATCGTCCACCGCCATAGACATTGTATTGAATCGGTACAGATTCGTCACATATGGGTGAAACGCAATTCATTTGGCTGGTTTTAGTAATATTTTACAGCACGAACATAGAAGTTCTTTTTGTTTTTATATAGTGTTAAAGACACTCATATTCTGCCCGTCGAGTAAGGCCATTGACAACCTATAATACTTCTATGCAGTCAGAACATCAAAAGAATCAGTAGCTAGAATATGTATATCATCCAAAAAAGTATCATTTTTCAGAATATCTGGGTCCTGGCAGGAACAACCCTGTGTAGCCTGTCAGCAAAGCTAAAACTACAGCAGGCTATTTGTCTTGGAAATGTCACAAGGCATATTTATGATGCATAACAGCGTAACGGTGTGGAATGTTCTGCGAATAGACAATTCCAGAAACATAGACGTCTTTTTATCACGTTTTTGGCATATTCAGCCTTAAGAACGAAATCTACTAAACTGCTGAATGTATTAAATAATGTGACAGTTATAAAACACAGATATTTGATGAACGACAAATTGTTTATATCCCTGTCGCTGTAAAAGACATTCGTCGTTAGCTAGGGTAAGTATTGTGTCCCTTTATACGTGAATAATACATGTTACATAATTAGGTCATGCGGTCCAATTGCAGTACTACAAATTAGTCACTTGAATGTTACATTTTCAAACGTATGTCACAGATACGCAGTAAAAATAAAACAAAAAGAGATCTACTACCACCGCTGAGCTAGCTCCGTAGCTCTGCTGAAAACAGCTTTGTTGTAGAAAATTAAGTATGTCGATTACATTGGTTCCATTGAAGTTCAACACCTAGAATGATGCGCAAAGCAGGAACCTTCTTTCATTCGACTATCAGCTGAGTATTGTGTTAAAGGACAAACGATCGTACCATGCACCACATAAATCGTTATGTTTAGATACTAAAAAACTAACAAAATATATTGAAGGTTTACTTGTCTTTTTCAAAGTCTATGTGTTTTCCAGTGCGGAAACACTATGGCATCAATCGTATTTCTTTTGCACAAACTCATGCCATGGTTTTTTGTCACTTCTGTCTATCAAAGCAAACATTTCTTGGATAAATGAAAACAATGACCAAGAGAAATCACAGCGCTTTTCATTGCAATCCGGTATCTACATATGTACGTCGAGCTTCATCATTTAATACGGAAAAATGGCGGCTAGCCGTAACGCCCGTCGTCCTTTGGTAGCTGTCGTTGGGCGCTGCTGCTCCGAATTTCCAGAGGTTTGAAGCGCGGTCTGAGAAAGATGTTTATGTTTTCGGTTGCAGTTCTCTTCGGCCGAACAACTCTTCGTGCCGTTTATGTTTTCCTTATCGGGAACTCGTCTTGGAAAAACAACATATTCCCTAAGCCTATATCCATTGTAGCAATCAGCCAAAGCCACTTTATCGTCCCTAGCTAACTGCAACTTCTCAAAAAAGGCTGCGAAGTCTTCGAGCATGTGGGCCGCATCAAGATCTGGAAACTGGCTCACCCCATACTTTTCCAAGAGGCAAGCGATTGAGCGTCTACGCGTGCAGCTGTACGGTAGACAAGGTAAAGCATTTTTGCCAGTTGCAAGGATTAAATAATAAACAGCATCAGGGTCATGATTCATCTGTCGAATCAAGTCGCGTACAATACGGCAGAACTCCTGTACATCGAATCTAGGGGACGCATTTTCTGTGCCACGATTTCTCGTTTCAAAAGGCACGGTTTGAATGGCTCCCATTTCATGTAAGATGTGAACTGCCGACAGCGGTAGGGTGGCACCCCTCAACTTCAAAAACCGGGTTTCCAATTCGTTTAGAGACAGCTGAAATAAATGAACACAAGCCGACACACACATTAACATCATTACGAAATAACACAGGGATGATCATATAATCCCGAGTAATCTGAGAGATTTCCACCACGAATAGGAACTCTGCGCTTACAAGTGTACAGGCTTTAGTCGTCTAAATGAACTACAGTTTATATTAAATTCTAGGTCTCGATTTTTTTTTCCAGTTCTCGGGGATTTCCCAGTAAAACACAAACGAGATTCATCTTGCTCGAACTTAGTAATCTTTACACACCGGTTTTGGACTTGCCATGAAAAAGGCAAGAACAATCGCGACGTCGGGTCCGCCGAGGGCGGTCGCTTGTCCCAGACTGAAATTCTGCCTGTTTTCCGCGGTCGTCTTTTCCTCAAATTCGTCTATCGTCTTGGGTAGCCTACGACACCTATGGATGAATACAAGTGCAATTAGACTAAAGCTAGCCTCAAAACATGATTCTCTATATTAAACCTTTGATACTACCTTTAAGGAATGTTCATCCTTGAAGTATTTTAATTCTCAGCTGAATAAATTAATCTTAGGCTAAATTGACTTGAAATGGGCTTGATGACAACACGAGCATATGAAGTAGTTTGTCTTGTAACTGACCTTTCCAAAGCGCGAATTGGGTCGACTGTCCTGGTGTTGTCTGAATTATTCACTAATTGCAAAATCCAGCGCTGGATGAAGTCCCGCCGCCATGTGGTATCAAGCCCAGTAAGCACTTTGGCCGAATAGTACATATCGGCTGATTGAGTCGCCAAAAGCATTTCCGCCATTTCCTGTACAATTTCCTGCAAGGTCCAGGGTTCGGGCATATCTAATTAATTCAACAATCTTCGTCAGCGTGGGCGTGAAATATGGTCAAACTGCATTTGTGAGTCATGACAGTAGTATTTAATAGCGCTACAAATTATGATAAACATATGCAAACAAAATAAAAAATTATATATTATATAGGTGATGCTTGCCGGTGAATTTATGATGAAGGATTTCACTTTCACGATGAAAGTCCATGATAATTTGAAAAAAACCCTCCATTATATTTTTCTGATCTGATTTAGTCCGCTCTATACGAATACAACCTTAATAATCCATATAATGTCTAGGCAGGCTTCCAAAGTCCTCATGCTAGGAAAAGATTATTGACGATAAATTTAGCTGGAAACAGTCGATGCGGATTGCGATAGGAAGAGCTTTGAGAACGTCGGGCAGTGCTACTGACAAGCACCTACTAGATGTGGTTAATTTTAAAAATCGTTTTGCCAGCTGCACACTGGAAAAACGTTGATTGGAAGGTATCAAGAATATTGGAAATGTACTATTAGGAAAAAGTTTTCGTGGACTAAAATACTAGAGTAACACAGCGTGGCACAGAGTGCTTGGATGTTTGTGATCGACAATTTCTATTGGGGGATGTATGTTTAACGAATTCTCTACTGATGGAGTGACTTTATGGGCAGGGTGCGATGACAAGTTCCAGATAAATCATTCGTTCAAGACCGCTAGAAACCTTCACCAAGTCCTGCTTTACCTTTATGCAAGACCTGAACCCGGCCTCGGCGAGACCAGGAAAGCCTATTAATGTAAACACTTCTGAAGCGCCAACGTGATTGAGCAATGACTTAACCCCATTAGTTCAAGGTATATTCCCAGCGCTTATAATATAAGCGCTGGGAATATACCTTGTACATTGTAAGTCCATATACGAATCATAGTCCAAAGACAAAACCGTTGCTTTTTGTTCGTCAGCATCAGAGTATTTGCCGTCTGCTATAATGAGCACAATAAGGACGGAAGGAATATTACAATCACAAGGAAAACGTCAGGTAACTCATGCTATGGAAGGTTACAATAGGAGAAAAAGCAAAAGTATATAAAAACATCGTATTATATAGTATGACTTTAAATTTTATTTTAGTATGACTAGTAAATTTTATTTGCACAAGTTTATCTAACATGCATAAAAAATTGGTTGCATATGCTTAATGTATATCAGGCTTGACAGTTTGGACTTTTCATTATTTATATCGTGACGCTTAGACGGAACTTACCTAACAGGCTTGAAGATAGCAGCTGGTGTTTGTTAAGTATTTTATAAACGACGTAAGCCAGCATTATGATACTGTAATTCGCAAACACGAAATTGAATAGAAATATATATACACGCTGTTATACAGTAGTCTTTTAAATTTTTATCGAGAAATAATGATTTCGCAGTGGCAAGTGCCGCATCAACCTATTTAAAGTCTAGTCTACGTAAATATTAATTTGCGATTGTGTATTTTATGAAGAATAACAAATTACTTCATTTTGATCGTTGCTGATTTGACCCGTTGCAATGCAAGCAGTTTCATCAGAATAAAAACTCAACAATTTTTTTGTCATGGCTTTATGCTTTGGTCTGGTTATCTTTGGTATAATAGATAACAAAAAAACTATAAAAGATATATATAAAACTACAATAAATATAAGATAAAATAGATAAAAAAAGAAGTGGCAAGAAGAATTTTGGCAGAGCCATTTTTTTGCGTATTTGCCGTCATTTTTATCGAATGTCCTACTATGAAATAAGACATTTTCTTTTCTTTAGACAGCGTACAAAATGTAAACTGAGCCTACTGACACCGCAATCCTTTATTAAAACCGTAATAATCTCGAACAAAGACCTTCTTTCTTGTGCATTGTGTATGCATCTTTCAAGTGACTCTTATTTAGAAGTGACTAACAAATCCTTGTTCCTGATAGATACTGTTTGTTGAAAAAGAAATAATTTCACTTAAGGATATTTTACACCCTTCAAAAAGGTTTCTTTTCGATTGTGTGGATTATATGGCCTTACCTTTTCTCCAGATGCGTATGGTGCAATCCATAAAGGCAGATCCGTCTGGAAGACCCGTGATGCCCTGCGGACGAACAGTTTCTGCGCGTATCTTTTGTATCTGCATTGTCTAATTGCGTATTGCATGCATACCGAGACGCTCCTGTGCAGGCCGCACATCTGTCGTCTGCGTCCGTTTGGCCAAAGGCTAAAGTAGCACCCGATGCGTGGCGCCTTCCAATTTCGTGCTCGAACTTAAGGAGATCCTGTAAATATAGATGATCCTGGCCGCTATATTAATTACCAGTTTACCTCTTAATGGAAGCTGCTTAGTTGTCCATCCATCAATAGCTATTGAATTTAGAATCTGTCCAGTACATAGTCACGAACCTCATGACTAAAACACAAAGCTCTAACCGATACTTTGTTACTGCGCAGTCTAAATATTAATAGTGCAACAGGGTATATGTTCTATAAAAGTAGATTCTATATCCTTGTTTATTTTTTTTTTTATAAAGTAAATTAGTGGACTATTTCTTTTAAATTCAACGCGTATTTTATGAATTTTGAAGAAAAACTTGCTCTACGTTATACTACTTACATTTGGATACTTCGCAGTTGAAGAAGCGGATTATACAGCTTTGCCTTTCTGGAGAAGCGTCCAAATTGCTAGGTAAGCGACAATGGTGGATCATACAGAACGCGTGCTTGGGTTTGAGCGGTTGCGCGATGTCCGGATTTTCGGGGTTTATTTCCCCTTTTGTTTTACTAGACAGATAATTTTTTTCACATGTACATGATGTACAAGAAGCATTCTCCCTGAAGACCTTCTCTGGTTAAAGGCCGAGAGAAATAGCAAAGCTGTATGAGTTTGGGTGGTCTCTTTCAATCGAACCAAAAGGATGTTCAGAAGTGACCGTCCACGGGCATCTTCCATTTCGTTCTCTGGGAAGGGGCTTCTACCCTTTCATGAAGGTTCTCAATACTAGGGTACAGCTGTGAGCTACAATGTGAGCTACTGTCATCATCGCATCATCATCGCATCATCATCGTCGTCGTCACGGGCGTCGCTTAAACTTGTTCCGCACGGAGAGCTATCTCTTTAAGTCGAAAGTTTCTCAGTTTAATTGGCTTTCGCGCTAACAATGGTCGACGCGTGGAGATATTTGTAGGCTACGAGAATCGCCAGGAGCTTCATCACTTCTATCGAGCGCGCAAGGAGTATTCGGAGAATCACTTGACGTATCGCTAAGAATCGGCTCTCTGCTGGAACGAGATTCACGACCTGTGAAAGTACGAACTAATTTAGACGGCTCAGCGCTAGGATGACCCGACGTCGACTTGCTGCGGGAATCGGGACCGTCGACCAAATAGGCGATCACGCGGTGTCTGCAGATATTTCGCTCGATAATTCTCGCCAATTCCCTGCAAAACAACGCTTAAAACTACTGGAAGTAACACTCGAAAGATGGAAGAAAGTTTAATTAAATAGACCGTATATATCCAGCATGTTTGATAGAATATATTACTTTTTTTTACGTATTGCACGCAGGAAAACCTACCCTGGCACTCTTAATGGAGGGTTCTTACTGTTAAACGCGGCGATCAGAATACTTATTGTTCTAGATAATGTATGTAGAAGGTCCTTCCAAAACAATGTGCTACAGTTGTGTGCAGCTTCTCTTTGGCATCTTGTAATGCCTTTAGTTGCTTTGAATTCTCATTCACAGCGTCAGGACATAACAGCAATGCGTAATAACGTCATAAATGAATTTATCAATCAAGCTAACCTTTTGTAATTCCGGACGCTTAGGCTTCCGTTCCAAAGATCTATTAGCAACACCATCATCTGGGAATAGGGACAAACACAAGTGACTCACGATGAAATACCTTCAATCAGTAGTTTTTAGTAGATTGGATTCATATATAAATATATAATCACATCGAGTAGTATTGCTTTCGTAAATATTCGGAGAAATTTGTTGGAGAGAGGGGGGAGAGAGAGAAGTCTATTGCTGGCAACGTCACTTATCGAGAGAAACAGAAATCTGTTGCTGGCATTTTTAGAGTCTTTTTTGTTACTCTTTTTCATTCTGTCTCTGTCAGACAACACGAGCTGGAGAGCTACGTACAGTCTTACCCTGAACTGCTACTAAAGAAACCAACGTGTAAACGTGTGTATTCACTGCTACTAAAGAAACCAACGTGTAAACGTGTGTATTCACTACGGAATACTGCCCGCTGTTTATATGGTAATGCAATAATTTTTACTGTAATACATCAATGCTCGCTGTTAATGCTTGAGGATCCCATAACGTCACCGATTTCGAAATTCGTCGTAAATCATTAATTGTAAACTCAGCTGATATTTTACCCACAGAACACTAGTGAGGGCTGATTCGAATCTCGCCGCTCACAGCTCCGTAAACCTTCAATGTACGGAGATATCTTGGTCAGCTTCACCAATCAGAATCTACTCCGTATCAGGCAAAAGTTGTACTTATCAGGTAGTAGTATTTTATTACCACAGACAGTTAAGTCCGCGTAACTGAGATCGATTCTGGATCTTTTGGAGTGTATCGTACTAAGGTCGGACGTCTTCGATCTCTTCCTTTACTTTTCCGCCTTCTCTCTGTTCGAGTTGTTTCTACAACAGTTTCTTCCCGATCCACTTCTCTTCGTCTACGATTACAGGCAATTCGCTCGCGACAGCACAGATATGATAACTGCGCCATCACGATTACACAAAGCAGGCCCAGCCCTATTTCCCAGCCAGATAGTCCTTCTACAACATCATCGAAATAATCCTGCCATCCTTCAGAACCACCTCGTATCAACCGCCGCTGATGTTTCACAATCCGTCCACGCCTTAATCTGGGGTGGAGCTGTGGCCGCCGTCTTCTGCCTTGAACATTCACGAAGCTAGATCTACTTCCTTTAGACAACATCTTCATTAGCATCGGTTTCGATTCACCTGCGATGAATTTACCAGCTCGTTAGTGCAATGCTATCGCGGATTGGTCGTCTACTACGCGTATCACGCTCGTGTGCTGGGATTGCAGGTATTTGACGGCAGTTAAATTGATCGCTTTTAGAATTCTGTATGACTTTGTTGTTGATCTCACTGCGGTGTTCGAAGTTTATAGGAAATTTAGCGCCCGAGTTTAATTCCTAAGATAGTATATGCATTCGTCTATGAATATGTATTCATATCCGGATGTACCTGAGAAAAGACGTATGGTCAGAAACAGAGACATTTGCTTCCATTTTTTCACACGCTTTCATTTTTTCTATCTGTATTTTTCTAGTTTAAATTAATTGATCCAGGTTAACATAAACTCAGTATGAACTGACAACGAAAGCAATTCAGTTTTTGCATCGAAGTACAAAGGTACTATGATAAGTATTACGAAAAGACTACTGTAGTCTCTATTCTCTACTTAATTTATATTGGAGTTACGTATCTCGGAAGTACCATCCATCGTGGTAGCCATAGGTGAGTTATAGGACATTAGACACCAGGAACATAGAGGTTAACCTTGAAGGTCATGGTTGGAATTCAAAATTGCTGATGCTTGTTGACACCTACTATTAGTTTGGAGTTGAAGCATTTACTTCACTTGGCTTTGAATAAAAATGCAGACAGTGACAGACCCAGTGCAGAAGTTAGGAGAATCAGAGGTATCTTAATCGTGCTCGTCTGCGAATGCTTGATTTCAATGATCGAGGCCTTTCAGATGACGCCAATGAAAGGATACGACAGCTAGCAGGATAGCGCAGTGGATGCGATGATCTGAAAGACAATGGTTCGGTAGCCATACGAACGAATCCTGCAAGGAGACGAGCAGAAGGGTTTTAACTTTCCATGCATAACCCATCAGCGGCTATGTTCGGAGTTCACAAGAATGCAAATTTGCGTTCTCAAACAGAAGCGGAATAGAACGTCGAAAACAAAAATGGTGCAGTCCTTGTAGTAGTTCCATGATAGCGTGTATATATGGGAGCTTCAGTAGTTTCGGTTGTTTACAACCGAGATGATACCAAAAATAGGAAAATAATTGCAAAGCGAGAATTGTAAAACATAAAGCAACACGTGCTTTTAAGCACGTGATATGTTCGGCAGGGGTTTGGGTTGCTCTTGCGACAAGCACATTTTGTAGTGAATATCTTGGGGCTAATAATTCCTAGAACACTTCTTTTACCGGTGTTAAATTAATGGCTTAAGTTCTATGCAAAAATGTTAACTTACTGTGCGATATAATCAGTTTAGTCAATCAATTAAAAAGCATATAGATATGATCATTCAGTATGACACAGTTAGCACAACGTTGAACAACACACACTTGTCATTTTTTAATTTATAATTAGCAGTTCTCAGTGTTGTAACGATGTATCCTGAAATAAGAAAAGAGTATCTTGAAATAAGTTCCTTTAAACTGGGGCACTTTACTTGAGAAGAAAACTGGTAATTAAAAATTCCTTTGTAACAACAGTTCAAGATCATCGTGTCGATGTTATCCTTTGTGATTATTGATGAACTTAAAAAGAACGGGCTGTCCAAACATTTCCGTAGGTAGGTAGGCAGCTCGTTTTCATGTAGCTCGCATTAAGAAAATGAATGTCATCGATACGACCAATTTTGAAAGACCTATCCACAGTTGAGTTCCATGAAAAGGCCAAACGGAATGAGTCTATTGGGGAGCGCTCAGTAACCTACTAGAACCCGCCTCTTGACCAGCAACTGGAGAAAAACGCAGGAGCGAAGGTAATCGTCAGTTACAGGAAGATCCTTTTTCCCGTTGTCTATTTGCTGATTTGTTATTGTTGGTGCCACATTAGTACATTAGACTGTGTACTGAATGTTTGTCGTACAATATCCTTGAATAGTCACAACTTCAACGTCGCGGCAATAGCCAGCGGTCATTGACAGGCGTAGCAGGGCTCTTGCAGAGAAAAGGCTGACATCTAGGTGTCGACGCTGTACACAACCCTCGGGGGCACATGAGCTGCGATGAGTTTTACATCCAAATATACAAATATAAATTTATATATCTAAATATACTTTATTTACAGATCTCAGTGTAGTAACCACGTAAAACTGCCGTATTCATAGCTCCTCATAGGTACTGATGGGGATGTTAGACAAAAGAAAACAGACATTTTTAGTTAGATTTAGTCTATTATATCTATCTACCTCTCATCATCTTCATCATCTTTTCAAAATAATTTGATCTTGTTTAGAGTTTAAAGTAACAATTTTAATACATCACAGCTTGCCATGTTACCTAAGGTCAAGCCTAATAAAAATATACGCTATGTTTGTGGACACAATTATTGTTAATATCACCATACACATTTTACTATAAGCTAGCCATTACAATATGCAGCCTTTATAGCTGACCTTGAAAATAAAAGAGCTAGTAGTGAGTGACTATGTTACTATTGATTTTATGTGATAAGCGAAGCATTTTTCACAAGAAGCGACCCATTGTGGCAGAAGGGCAGGAAAACCTCTACTACTCCCCTTACGGTTAAATGTACCAAGAAAAGCCCCCGTCCAAGTTTGACGTAAAGGTCGAAATGTCTAAAATGTTCGCTATTTTGTATTTTTTCTCCCATTCGACTGTTTTTTCTTATTTTTCTCTAATGGATCCTTTTACTTTCATGCCCCACTCTTTCTCGTATCTTCCCTCTCACTTCCCATTGAGTTTAAAGAAACCTCATCAGACACTAGAGGTAAGTTGTTCAAACCTCCGTCCACAATCAACCGGAAAAGTTTGTAGATCGATGTAATTTACTGCGTGTGAACAATATTTTGTGTTTCAATACAAGCGTCACCAGCCTATATTTGCTCGCGGTCTTATGCGACGTTGGGTCGTGATTCGTCTCATTATTATGCGATGTCCATATATGCTTCGTAAAAGCTGTCTCCTTTATCGTGGTCGAGCGCCACCTAAGTTTCGTCATTCTTTTGGGCGACACTTTCGTGAGAATATTCTTCCGTGACTATTATAAAGCACTTAACACGAACTTCCGTAGAAATCTTTGTCGAAGTTCGTCATCAGATACCGCAACGGTAGAGTTTACAATTGAGCCGATCATTTATTTTGGTCGGAAAAAAATTGTCTTTATATAGCAAGTACCAGCTTGACCAGAATGTAAACAACACATTTTCCCCACATTTTAATTATGAGAAAAAAAATATGCGTCTATATTAACGGTTTTACAGGAATTCTTTTTCTTCCTGGTTGATATTTGGGGTTACCTGCTTTTGTTGATCGCAGTGGGCAGGCTTGTTTACTTTGCTGCCCCTAAAACTACGCTATGGTTCTACACCATACGCACGGGCTTTTGTTTTTGTATTGTACTAATTTGTAGACAATGTATGTGGGCAGGGTTTGCTATTTATGAAGCGAACATGTAACGAAAACGCTCTAATAATCAGCCTGATTCTGCTAATCGGCTCAAGGCTGGGATATAATTTATCATTAGATACTAGAGAACTACTGCTTATTAGATGGCATAAGTCAATGCACGATATTTGGAGGTCAACCCAATTTACTGCATGCTAAATAACTACGCCGGCGGGATACATTTTCCGGCTCAATATCACGTACCTGTGTCTTGAAACACCAAATAATGTTTGGTCCTCGATCCTTATCGCATTGGCCTTCGACTGCTGAGAACCTCGCTTTTGACAGCCGAGACGATCGGATTTTTGTAGAAACCGAGCGCGTAAAAAAGCTAACAATAAACAAGATTGCGCAACATGCGTATCTTAACATTGTTGATTCGTAAGTACC